CACACACACACACACACACACACACACATCTAGCGCTATGTGGTCCTGTGGACTGAACCCAGGGTGTTCACTCGGAGCTGCACCCCCAGCCCTTTTCAGTTTTTATTTCGAGACAGGGTCTCACTGAACTGTGCAGGCTGGGCTCAACCTTGCGATCCTCCTGCCTCAGCCTCCCGAGTGCCAAGATTACAGGTGTGCACCTGGACGCTGGGCTTGTCATCTCAAGTTTAGGTAGCCAGAGCCACTACAGCTGCTCACGGCCACCTGCCCAGGTCATGTACCTTGGGGCAGCCCAGGTGTGGGGAAAAAATGAGACTCAAGCTACAGGTTGTCCCTGAAAGGTCCCTGCCCTGGGCTAGTTGAGAAGTCCTGGGACGGGGGAGGCAGACACCCCCACCCGTGTCAGCACCCCGAACGCTGATGTCCATGGAGAACAGTGAAAATAGGAAGGCAATAAGCCTGCTCTAAAATTCACAGGCCTGTCCTCCCAGCACTCAGGAGGCTGAGGCAGAAAGACTGTCATGAGTTGCAGGCCAACCTGGGCTGCACAGTGAGTTCAAAGCCAGCCTGAACTATGAAATAGGACTGTCTCAAAAAATAGAAAAATAAAATTCCGACAGGGCGAGTGAGTTATTCAGCAGGTGCCAGGCAGTCAGTTCTAACACCAGCACCAAGAAAACCAAAAGCAAAGAAAACTCATCTGGATGAGCATTTGCACACGGAGGCCAAGGCTTTGTCTGCGTTGGCGCTGGAGTTGGAACCCAGGGCCTCTGCCGAGCTGCATCCTCAGCCCTCTTTTATTTTGAGATAGGATCTCACTAAGTTACTAAGTTGCCCAGGCTGAGTTCAAACTTGCGATCCTCCTGCCTCAGCCTCTTGAGCTGGGCTTATAGGTATGTGCCACTGCGCCTTGCCCCAAGACTATTTTCTGAAGAAAGCATGGGGTGGGGGGCAAGGAGGTATGGAACTGTCCCTGGGAGAAGTGGCTACTGTTCAAGGAGAATCCATTTCTGTTTCACATACTACATGAACAATTTCAATTGCACGGCGTTAGAGAACCAGTGAGACCCTGTCCCAGAAAAGGGCCAGAGATGGAGCTCAGCTTGAGGGCCCTGGGTTCAATCCTAAGTACCACGTACAAAGAAAAAAACAAAATGAAACAAAACCCCAAAACATATCTTTACAATCTTAAGTCCTAAACATGAGCTGCAGAATCCATTCAAGAAAGATTAAAATGACGTGTTTTGATGACATTTTGTTTCTTTTCCTTTCTTTCTTTCTTTTTTTTGAGACAAGGTCTCACTATGCAGTTTAGGCTGGCTTTGCACTCACAGTGATCCTCCTGCCTCAGCCTCCCAAGTGCTAGGATTGCAGGTGTGCAACATCATTATGACTTAATGACAAGTTTAGAAGATGTTTTCAGTTTCTACATTGGCAAGTCAAAAGGGAAACGACAGACTACAGCCAACATGTACAAAAACCAAAGGTCAGTATCTATAATAGAAAAGGAGTTTGTTCCCACCAATCGATGCCAAAACAGTGTGGTTCCATCCCTAACACCACAAAATGGACAGAGAGAAATAGAGATGGACATAGAAACGGTCAGATGGAGACAAACAAGGCCAACACAAAAATGGGCACATTGTATGAACAAGCAATCACAGAGGAAACAGGAAAAGCCGACAAGACAACTAACGAAAGGAGATTTAATCTCCCAAGCGACAAAAGAAATGGAAACAAACAGTGAGAAGCCGTTTCGCCTGCAGATTAGCAATAGTGTGTGAAGCCCCAGGTTGAATCCCCAGCACTGCAAAAATAACAGTAATAATAATAATAATAGGAAATTAATACTGCTGTGCATGCTGACGGGGCTGCGGGAGACACCCTGGCTTGTGCAGCTACCAGGAATGTGACCTACAACCTCCTCCTCAGCTTCTTCTTTGCTTTTTTGTTTTTGGAGACAGGGTCTTACTATGCAGCCCAGGCTGGCCTCAAATTCACAGCCTTCCTGACTCGGCCTCACAGGAGCTAAGAATATAGATCTGCAGCACCTGCCAACGCGCACTTCAGCTCTCAAAGCTCCACGCAGAGCCAGGCGAGGACCCAGCAGTGCTGTGGCGGGGAGCCCAGACCAGGGCCGCAGGGTCAGCTCAAGGGAACTCAGAGGACTGGGTCAGCTCGGACTGCGCATCTGTGTGGCTGATTTAGAACAAGAGCAGGATCTGCGCGGGGACATGAATGAGCCTCAGAGTCACAGCCCTGCTTTGGGGTGAGCAGCGCCATCTGCGCTGAGCCATGGCAGCCCCTGGGGAGCGACAGAGGGGAGGCCACGACCGTGAGAGGCCCAGACAGGGCAGCTGTGACCCCAGGCGGCAGTGTATCAGAACTCCGCTGAGCACTCAGTTCCTCTCCGTATTAGCAGAACTTCTCACGTGTTCATGTTTTAAAAATACCCCAAATGCCAGAGGCCGAGGCAGGAGGATCGCTGTGTAGTTGAGTCTGACCTGGAACTCACTATGTAGCCCAGGCTGGTCTCGAACTCCAAAGTGATCCTCCTGCCTCAGCCTCCCGAGTGCTGGGATTACAGGCGTGCGCCACCAGGCCCAGCTGTGTCGTGTTTTAAAAATATCCCAAATGCCAGAGGCTGAAGCAGGAGGATCGCTGTGTGTTTGAGGCCAGCCTGAACTACACAGTAAGTCCCTGTCTCAAAAAACATACAAACAAAATAAATTTTAAAAATGAAAGGGCTGGGGATGCAGCTCAGTTCAAACACTCTGGGTTCAGTCCCCAGCACCCATGTAAAACAAGAAGCTGGTCAGAGTGCAGCGTGGCCGGGGCCTCCACCTACTACTCACCGTTGGTGAACAGAGGCTCGGGAAGCTTCCGGAAGAAGGACTTGAGCAGGCTGCTGATGACATTGAGGTCCTGCCAGCGCTGGGGAGGGACAGCGAGGTCAGGCCCATTGGGGGCAGCACCTCGGGGGACAGACGCGACACGAGGCTCCTGCTGCCCGATGCCACCCACCCACCCTGGGGCCACAGCCACTGCCCTGTCACCCAGGCTGCACCTCTCTCATGCTGACCCTGCCCCGGAGTCACTGCTCCCCCATCGCGCTGTGCCAAGAATGCATGATTGATGCCCCTTCTGTCCACAAGAGGGCGCCATGACCCCGCAGCTTGGCGAAGGAAGCAACCGGGCCAGGCTGGCTCCTCCCCGAAGGTCAGCAGCTGGACGGCCGCAGCCTCCCAGCATCAAGGATGGCGCCCCACTGCGGGCTCCTGCGCCCACGCCCCTGAGGACCTCAGGTCACTCCAGCCCAGCCTCAGACTAGGTCCTGCTGCTGCTGTCGCCCCAATCCAGCGGGGCCACTCCCTGGCCCAAGCCTCCTTCAGGCCTTCTGAAAGCTGCGCCAGCCCCACCTCTGCCAGGGGCACACTGCAGCCCACTGCTCCCTCCCTTCTCCACGCATGGGCGTCAGCTGGGACCACAGAGGAAGCCTGGCCCTTAGGGGCCCCTCCCCGCCCCAGGCATCTGCAGCCATCACGCATCTGGAATGAAGGGCAGCTGCCCTCAGCCTCCCTCTGAGAACTCACTAGAAGAGCCGGGTGTGGTGACAAGCAGTAATCCCAGCACTTGGGAGGCTGAGGCAGGAGGATAATGAGTTTGAGGCCAGCCTGGGCTACACAGTGAGAACCTGTCTCAAAAATTCCGGTTGTGGCTTTCTGTGTCTCCTGGGCCTCGCCCTCCCGATGCCTAGTAAGTGTCCAGCTCACACCCTCCTCTGGGGCTTGGGCAATGCCAACGTCCCCGCCTGCAAAGCCCTCTGCCACAGGCCTCGGCATCCTCCAGAGCCGGCCCTGGCAGGCTCTCTGCCCACCGGCGGCCTCCACACACCAACGTCAGCCCTCCTGTCTCCTCTCCCATCGCCCACACACAGGGATTCAGTCATGGGAGGACCCTGGGTCCTCACTGCCCAGATTCACAGTTTTCCAGGAAAACTCTCTCTCAGCAGAGCCCCTTCTGTCGAACAGAATCGCACATGAACACCCAAGGTAACCACAGAGCAGGGCCCTGGCCATGGCCACCCAGGCCCTCTGGGAACCCGGGACTCGCAGGAACACCCTTTGAGAACCACTGCTCCAAACATTCTCTTTCTCGTGCTAGGAACTGAACACAGGGCTACTCCCCACCCCTTTTTGAATTTTATTTTGAGACAGTCTGGGTAATAAGTTGCCCAGGTCGGGCTTGAATTCCTGGTTTTCCTATCTCAGCCTCCCAAGTACTGGGACAACAGGTGTGTGCCACTGTGCCCAGCTGTGAAGGTGAGTGTGGCCGTCAGCTCACTCCCCAAGCTGCCCTCTGCCTGGCCTCTTCCCCGGCGGCTGGCTACTCTGGAAAACCTGTGCATTCTCCTGGCCGAGCCCGGGGTCGGACAGCGTTCTGAGCCAGCCCACACCCGTTTCCGTGCATGTGGCTGGTAAGCAGCTGAGAGACGGCAGGGCTGGGGATGTAGCTCAGCGGTGCAGGGCCTGCCTGATAAGCATGAGGCCCCGAGTTCCATTCCCGGTACCCAAAAAAGAAGAAAGGGAGGGAGGGAGGAAGGAAAAAGAAAAAAAAAAAAAGAGAAGAAACCACCGGCGCTGGCGGCCCTAGCAGCTGGGAGGTGGCCCTCCCTGGTTGGTCCTGGCAGATGCACCCACCTCATCCTGCAGGTTGATGTCGCCGGGCCCGCGGTTGAGCTGCTGCTGCAGGCTGGACACCACCGCGTTGTTGCCGGGCACGCGGTAGATGCCGGTGGACTCCAGCCCCCGGGCCTCCACGACGTGACAGCAGGCGGCCACGATGAGAGGCACACGCTGGGGACAGGCGGGCAGGGTCAGGGTCCTCGCCATGGACGGAGCACGGCTGCCCTGCCCGCGCCGGGGCGCAGACCCACCTGGTTCTCCGCAGCAGGCTGGCACTCCTCCAGCCGCACCCCGAAGGCCCGCGGGGAAGCCTTCTTGGTCTTCTTGATGATATTGATGCCCCAGGCGGTTTTGGGGGTGGCCACACTGTCGTCTGGGGTGCAGGGGGGAAGACAGCGGTGAAGGACACGTGCTAGGGTACCGGGGACCCCGCGAGGGGCTCGGGGAGGGCGCCCACCACACAGGAAGTGGGGAGACGCTGCCCCGGGTGCTGGAGCAGCCAAGGAAGAATCCTGCAGGGCCACAGCCCGGAGGCCGGGCGCCCCAGAGGTGCGGGCCCCGCAGGCGGAGGGCAGGGTGTCCCGGAGGGGAGCCCCAGTGGGGAGCCCCGGCAAGGCCCTGCCTACCCTTGCTCCCCGCGGGCTCCTGGGTCCTGAGGCTGCGCACCGCACTCTGCTTCAGGAACTCGGACTTGAGCCCCCCCAGCCCCCGAGAGACTTTGGGGGAGGCATCGGCTTTGGGCCCGGAGCCATGGCTGCGGAGGAAGAGGGGACAGCGGTGTTCATTGTGCCCGCGGCCCCGCTGCACCCCGTACCCCAGGGGCTGCCGGCCCTGCCTCACCTCACTTTGCGGTAATCGTTAAGCTTCTTGCTGATCAGAGCTTGGTTGGCACAGCCAGGGTCCTGGGGCAGGAGAGAGAGGCGCCGTGTCAGTGCCCGCGGCCCGGGTGCCCATCCTGCCCGGCTCCCGCGCCGAAGCTCTTCTTATTTTTAAGAATTCAAAGCAAAACTCACTTCACAATGAGGGAGTATCAACGTGCGACCTTTAGTCTTTGAAAAACAATAGCCAAACATCAAAACTGAACCCTAGAATTAAGTGTGGGTTAGGGTTAGGTACCACGCTGTTCGCTCCTTAGTCTGCCATTGATGATGGCTCCATCTGCTGGTGGCAAAGGGATGTGGTATGAAGCTTTGGGTTTTGAGTTCTGGTCATTCCTGGCATGGCCTGTATTCTTAGCAGAGAAGGTCTCTCTACAGAGTAGGAAGCGTTTGTATGTGTGTGAGCCCGCCTTCTGCGGAGACACGGGAGAGCAGCGTGAGAGCGGGCACCGACCACCTCCCCACTCGGGTCGGGGTGTGTGTGCTCCGAGACAGACAGGGCCTCCCCGGTAGCCCAGGCTGGTCTCCACTCCGAGGCGATCCTCCTGCCTCAGCCTCCTGAGTGCTGGGATGGCAGGCGGGCGCCCGGCCCTGCCATCTTCTGGTAGCTGCCTCCTTTTCTCCCTTCAGGTCAGAGTGTCAAGGAGGACCCCATCACCTCCTCGAGAACCCTCGGCCATTTCTTCCCCCAAAACCAGCCCCACACACCCCGTAGTCACTGCACCGACTAAGCACCTGCTGGGACCTCACGGTGATTTCACCGCCCCCGGGCAGGGAGCTCTCCTGCCCTTTCACCAGGACCCACAGCCCTGCGCCCAGAGAAAGGCCCGGGCCAGGGCCCACTGTCACACACTGAGGACCTGGCTTAAGGGTCCTTGACGCACCCAGGGCAGGGGCTGTACCCCCAGCGGATCAGGGCAGGGTGACACCTCATTCTGGCGGGTCCTATGCCCCAGCCTGCTGAGTCACAGCACTCCTGGCTGGAGCGGGACACGTTGGCCGGCCTTGGGGCGCCCCAACAGTGCCACCACAAGGGTTCTCCCCCCAGGGAGCCAGGCCCAGGCTGAGCACTCAGCCTCACCAAAGCTAAAACCAGGATCTCAAGGGGGATCTCAAGTTCCAGGCCAGCCTGGGTGACATGCAGTGAGAGCCCCTCAAAACAAAGCTGGGTGGGGCAGTGCACACCTGAGATCCCAGCACTCAGGAGGCTGAGGCAGGAGGATCGCTGTGAATTCAAGGCAGCCTGGATGCCATGGCAAGAACTCATCTCAAAAAAAATCAAAAAAGAAAATGCCTCTGCAGAGGAATTTTAGGGTTGCAGCCCAGGAGTGCCCAGGCTCTTAGACTAATGGAGCCAGGTGACCTTGCACTCCCCAAGCCCAGCCCTGGCCTCAGTGTCCCATGCCAGCAAGTCGGGGACATCGGGTCAGAACACTGGCTCTGTGGCTGCAGCCACTGCGCCTCCCTGAGCCCTGACTGAGGAGAAGGAGGTGCTCGGCAGGTGTCAGCAGCCGGCATTCGACACCTGGACAGACGCTGTGCCTGCCGCTGGACGGGGAGGCCCCCTGCTCTAACTCCTGACCAAGCACACAAGTGACAGCAGGATTTGCCCAGCGAGGAGGGACGGAAGCCCCTGTCCTCCAGAAGAGGGGCTGTCATCTGTCACAGCTGTATCCCTAGCCCTTTGAATTTTTCTTTTATTTTGAAACAGGGTCTCATAAGCTGCCCAGGCTGGGTTGGAAACCTCCTGCCTCAGCCTCCCAAGTTGCTGGAATTACAGACTTGGGCCACCACTTCTGGCTGTGACTGCCATATGCTGGGGTTTTTTTGTTTGTTTGTTTTTTTGGGTACTGGGGATTGAACTCCGGTCCACTTGCGAGGTAGGCGGCGGAACTACTGAGCTAAATCCCTGGCCCTGTTTTTGTTTATTTTTCTCATTGAGTTTATTGGTACATTTTAGGTATACAGTACAGGTACATTCATTACTGAGATCTTGTACCTTTACATGACAGATCTTGGTTCTCATTTTTTCCCCTTACTCCCGCCCTCCCTTCACCCCCTCCTCTCCTCTCCACTTACAAATACTTTATTTCCATTTTTTCATTTTTCTGTTTGTTTGTTTTTGAGACAGAGTTTCACTATGTAGTTCAGGCTGGCCTCAAACTCACGGCGATCCTCCTGCCTCAGCCTCCTGAGTGGTAAGATTGCAGGCGTGCGCCACCAGGCCCAGCTACTCCTCTATCCTTGATGTCCGAAGCCTTCAATCTAGGCCAACTTCCCCTCCAACTTCTCTCCAAAGGCCCCCTCCCTGGACTCACACCATGACCCTGATCAGGGCCCCTCAGTCAACAGCCTGGGGCGCTCCCTCCCTAGCTCCAGCCCAGAAAGCCTGGGCCACAAGCACCTTCTCCGCCTGGATGGACCTCCAGAGGGTGGGAGACAGACCCCAGGAGCAAGGTGGGAGACGCAACCACAGTCGGCCTCCACCTCACAGAGGCCACGTCCACCCTTCAAGCTCAGTGTAGCAGCAAAGACACCTGGGAAAAACATGGCGCCCGCCCGGCACACTCAGATCTGCTTGAGTAGGATCCCTGCCAGAGCAGCACAATTAACAACACACACAGCGTCCACACCCTACGAGGCCTCCAAAGTCCCCCAGAGAGGATTTACAGTGGATGGGAGCTGGGCATGCGGGCGCACGCCTGTGATCCCAGGGCTGCCAGGGGCAGAGACAGGAGGATCTCAAGTTCAAACCCAATCTGGGTAACTGAGTGATTCAGTGAGACCCTGTCACAAAACAGAAATAAAAAGGGCTGGGATGCAGCTCAGTACGAAAGTCTTGGGCTCATCCCCACAATGAGTAAATACACAAACTGAGCGAACGGGAGGATGCGTGTAAGCTGTAAGCAAACACTGCTCCTTGTTTTGTCTTGTTTTGTTTTTTGAGACAAGGCCTCACCACATAGCCCAGGCTGGCCTCAAACTTGCTGCGATGCTCCTGCCAGGGCAGCCTGAGGGCTAGGATTATAGGTGTCCACCACCATGTCCAGTGAGACCATGCTGTTTATTTATTTATGCATTATTTTTATTCTTGGTTCTGACGGCTGAACCCAGGGCCTCCTGCTTGCTCCACCAGCCAGCACTGTACCCTGAGCTGAGTCCCCCGCCACCGCACCCTCTCATCTGTGCCCCACACAGGCTCAGGGCAGAGCGGACTGCAGGCTCCACTCAGATGGGGCCTGGAGCCAAGCCAGGTTCAGCCTCAGCCCCTCTGCTCCTCGTGCTACCGCCCCTCCTGACTCTTCCCCCTGGCCCTGCCGAGGTGCAAGGGTCCCCCTCGCTCTACTGAGCCCCGAGTCTGCTCGGTCCTGGGCTCCCTGGGGACCTTGCTCCCTGTGGCCACTTTAGGGCTGGGGACACTGCTGGGATTGCACACACGATGTGGTGAGATTGGAGCCCATCCCGGTCATCCTTCCACTCCCAGCGGCCGCGGGGCAGGCATGGCAGCTGCAAAACCCAACCGCCACCCTCCCGCTGCGTCCTCCCCCCACCTTACCTTCCCCTTCCTGGTGAGGACCTGCTTGTAAGACAGCCATCCCTCTCTCCTGACATCACTGAAGGCCACGTCCGAGAGGTCAGAGGTGGAGTGGCGCTTCGAAGGGGCGTCAGCATCTTCTGAGGTGCCCCAGCTGTCCAGGGACTGCAGGGAGACAACGCAGGGCAGGTTAGGGTGGCTCCTCCCGCACCAGCACCTCAGGAGCCCCATGGGGCACCGGCAGCCTCGCGGGCCAGGCGTGTATCCGTGATGTCCTCCAAAGCACTGTGTGACCTCCGGGGCCTGGCTTGGCCTCTCTGAGCCGTCATGGGCCGTGACAGAGAAGCCAGAAAGGGGAAAAGCTGGGCCCTGCCAGCAGACACAAGCCTCCCATGCTAAAACGCCAGTCTGGACCCTGCTTTAATTTTACAGCCTTAAAAGAAATAAGGAAACCGGGGAAGCAACTTTGTCAACAAGGAGTTAAGTAAATAGGGGAAGTGGGAACATCAACAAAGACCGAGGGAGCAGAGCAGGTAGTCATGTGCACGAGGAGTTAAACAGAGGAAGTGACAGCGTCAACAGACTCCGGAGCAGGGCGACAAGTCCAGGGAGAGCCACGTAAACTGAGGAAGCAATAAAGAGTGAGCCGGGTGGCAGTGGAGTCAGCAGGCTAAGCCCAGACAAGGAGGCCTGAAATCCAAATGGCTTTTCCAGTCCATTAGTAGTCAAGCCGAGCATAGTGGCACATATGTGATCCCAGCACTCTGGAGGCTGAGGCAGGAGGATCCAAGATCAAGCTCAGCCTAGCATCTTAGCAATTTAGCAAGACTCTGCCCCAAAAGTTAAAAAGCCAAAAGGAGCTGGATATAGCTCAGTGTGAAGCCCTGGAGGAATTTAATCCTCAGTGCTACAAAACACATCCCGACGCGGCTGTGGTGGCACACACCTGTAACTGCAGCACTGAGGAGGCTGAGGCAGGAGGATCACTGCAAGCTTAAGGCCAGTCTGAACTAAACAGTGAGACCTTGTCTCAAGAAAACCAAAAAAGAAATAGAAACATGGCAGGGCTGGGTGCAGCTTGGTGGTAGGGCTCTTCCCTGGCACTCAAGGTCCTGGGTTCACCTGCAGCTGCTACAGCCCGATGCTTTGTGCCAGGGACAGGTGAGCACCCTGCCTTCAGGAGTTCAGGGTCAGCAGCACACACAGAGAGCACAGGGAGAGAGAAAAGGTCGGGTCGAGGCTGGAATTACACAACAGGCCCAAAGAACCCTAGAAAAAGTGAAGAAAGCCAGGCGTGGTGGCACACATCTATGATCCCAGCACTCAGGAGGCTGAGGCAGGAGGATCACTGCAAGTTTGAGGCCAGCCTGGACCATGAAGCGAGACTCTTGTCTCCAAAAAAATAAACACAATAACAAAAAGCGCATCATGAGTTTAAAGGAGAGCTAGAAAGTGGTTCAGAGGTGGGCAGGAAGACGCAGGGTGACTAAGGGGTGAAGTGGCCGGCAGAGGGTGATCAGACGGGTGACAAGGGGGCACAGAGGAAGGAGCAGGGGTCCCCACGCCCCTTGCCCGCCCGGCCCTCACTCACCCCGTCAGTGAAGAAGCTCCGGAGCACCCGCAGGCTGGGCACACGGCTCGGCAGGCGCCTGGGGAGCAAGGACTGAGTGAGGGCTGGAGTGGCACGGGGGAGGGGGCCGACCCCCGAACCCTTGAGCCACGGCCTCCCACCCCTGTCCCGCGGTGCTCACCGCAGGACCCGGCCCTCGTCCCGAAAGGTGTTGAGCCCGTCGTCGCAGGACTTGGAGCGTTCCGTGGTGATGGCCAGCAGGTAGGAGGGGCGGCGCCCGGCCTTGATGCTGCCTGCAAGGCGACCACGTCAGCGCAGGGAGCAAGCAGGGGGCAGGAGGGGACAGCGCGAGGATGGGGGGGTGCTCACTGCAGTCCTGTGAGTAGTGGCGGCTGAGGGCGAAGGTGAAGGTCGGTGAGGTCGGGCTGCTGCCCAGGACAGGGGCTGAGTTCATGGCGCTAGAGACCACGGCAGAGGCAGGGACGTGCTTGGCCTGGAGGTCAGTGCTGGGGCTGGTGGGCTCATCTGCGGGGCAGAAGGGCACTGTGACGGCCACAGAAGGCTGCCCAGACAGCCCTCACCCCAACCTGGAGCCTCCCCACAGCTCCTGCAGCAACATGGCAGACTGGCCAGGAGCCCCTCTCCCTGCAGGCACCCAGGAGGGGCAGGAGTGGGCTCCGCCCCCTCTTCGGCAGGCAGAAGTAAGGACAGTGTCTCCCCAGCCAGGGCTGGCCTGAGGGCAGGGTCACCTCTCCACTGGCACTGGGAGTGATGCCACACGCAGCCTGGCACTTCTAAGGCCGGGGCCCCGTCAGCCCCAGCTGCTTCTCCCTCCCTGAGCTTTCCTGATCCCAGGACCTCAGTCCTGCTGCACCGGTCTCTCCCAGCTCCTAGACCCAGCCCCACCCTGCTGACGCTTCAGATCCCAGGGGGCCTGCGCTTGTCCTGCCCGGCATCCACCCTGGCACAGGGTAAGGTAGCACCTCGGAGCCAGGAGCCAGGAGCTGGGAGCTCCGGGCCTCTGCCCTTGGCCGCAGCCTGCTGCCCCGCCCACCCTCCAGTCTCACCCGGACGTCGCTTTCCAACATTGTCTCTGCACCCACCACGCCCAGTCTAGGCCCCACGGCCTCCCTTCCTCCCCAGCCCCCTGTGCCACACCCGTGGCTCTGGCTGACCCGGTCAGAGCGGGCGCCCAGGAGGAGCGGAGGGGCCGAGAATGGACGGATGGAAGCAAAAGGAGGGGAGGAGAAAGGGTGCAGAAGCGGGGGAAGAGGTGGGGCGGCAGGAGGCTGCCCAGACGGACGGATGGACGGAGAACAGGATGAGCCCACCCATAGCCACCCGGCTCCTAGGCACAGCAGACACGTGGGCAGCACACCAGGGCACCGATGGCCACAGTGTCACTCACCGATGAAGGGGATGGAAGCCAGCGAGTCCTCAGTGGTGGCCAAAGGGGCCACCCTCCTGCCCGGGTGCTCTACTCTGGCGCCGACCTCTGGCTCCGGGACCCCATCCCCAAGTCCGATGTTCATCTGTCGGGCGGGGCCCGGGTGGCCCTTGCGGCCCGTGGGCGGCTTCTGCCTCAGGACCACCTCCTCGTGGGCGTCCTCGGCTGGGGGCCCCACGGCCCGGGCGCTGGGCTCAGGCCTCGTCACCCTGGGCGGTTCAGAGGCCTCAGGTGGGAACGGTGTGGGGGTCTGGGCCAGACTGAAGGTGGGCAGCCCCCCAAAGGGCGAGTCCCGGAAGGACAGCGCGTGCAGGAGGCCAGTCCGGCGCTGGAAGGACGGGCTGTAGCTGCGGTAGCCCATGTACCCGATGTCGTCCAGGCCCTGCAGGCCGGGCGCAGGAGGTGCCTGAGCCCCTGGCAGGTCCTGAGTAGGGCAGGCAGTCACGCGGGCAGCAGGATGCTGGGAGGCCCAGCCACAGCGCTCGAAGCGGGGTGACCCCAATACGCCTGGTCCCAGGGCCTCGGCAGAGCGGGTGGCCCGGCCCAAATAGTCCTCCGAGCATGCCCGGTGCCAGCTCTCCTGGTCCAGCTGGCTCAAGGCGGCCTGGGA